GCCTGCTGCGCCTGTCGCCTGTGGGTCCGTTGCTCCTGCCGCTCAGAGTTAGCCGCAGAGCCAGTTACTCCTGTAGTCCGGGGAAACGGCTCCGGTAGCCATAGTGTGCGCCGCTCCTGTTGCCCGTGTGTCTGCAGCATCAGCCGTCGCCTCCTATCTCCTCTCCTCTCACAGTCCAGCCTCCTCCTCACTTGCCCTTTGTGAATGCCTCTAGCTTTGCTTGTACTTGTGAACCTGCTCTATGACTGCTTGCTCTGCTGATTATACCCCACTTTGACTATGGGGGTGTGTCAGAATGTATTTGCTATCTAGCCTGCAGTGGGGTACTCTGTAGTGAGTGCAACCCAATTTAGGGTTTGCTATTTGTATCTCAACTCTTGCTAGTGAAATCATTCCATTCCGTTTTCTTTGACATTCTCCTTCTCGACTTCCTCACCCAAAACTCTCTCGACAATCTAACCTAGCATTGGCTCCTAAGCCTAAGTCACACTAGGATTCTAACAAAGAGTAGTCATCTTCGGGGTGGGGGAGAAGGTCTGGAAGTAGTCAACTCCCTGTTGCTGACTGAAGCCTCTAGCAACGTAACGCGCCTTGAAGGCAGGCGGAGAACCCGGCAGCCGCTTCACCCTGAAGATCCACATGCCATCGACCATGTTCGCCCCAGGTGGGGGAACCTCGTCGACGTAGGTGCCTGTGGACTTCCAGGATGCCATCTCGGCATCCATGGCTGCCTGCTATTGAGAGGAGTAAGGACCCGTAATCGCCTCTGCATAAGAGCGCGGGGTCGGGATGTCTGGAGCATCCGGGTCTCCCTCAGGGGCAAGCAACATGGAAGCGAAACGAGGTACAGCAGCTGCAAGACACTCAAAGTCCTCCTGCCTGTCCTCAAGGACGTCTGTGCCAAGAGCACACTCACCCTCGACGGACGGAGGACTGGCAGACGCAGACTCAGCAAAAAGAGCAGTGGCGTAGTCTAGACGACAGGCAGCAGCAAAGTCAAGCAGCTCAGCAACGAGAGCAGACGCAGCAGTAGCCTCAAAAGAAGGGTCAGTGACAGCAATGGCGAGGAGACGAGAGACAGTGGGACTGGCAGCACGAGCGCGGTCAGACTCAGGGTCAGGGACCTCAGGAAGAAAGGACTCAAGAGGAGCTGGCAGAGGAACACGTGGAGGAACGGAGGAAGGATGAAGGGTCATAGCGTGCGTGCCAGGGATAGGAGGAGGACACGAACGAGGAACGCGACGAGCAGTGCGAACAGGCGAGACAGGACGAGACGCAGGCTCACGACGCTCTGTAAGACCGCCGGACTGCTCAGTGTAAGGAGAAGGAGCAGGGAGTGGAGAGGCCGGCTGTAACGGCGGCTGCGACTGGTCTGGCAGGGGACACAGGAGGGGAGGAGTAGGGGCAGCAGAAGGTGGGGTACCAAGAACCTGCTGGAGCAGGGGAACGAAGTACGGTCGCGACCGCACAGTGCCACCAGGGTCAACAGCTCCAGCTCCTCCAGCTCCAGCACCTCCAACACTAGGGCCTCCAACTCCAGCGCCTCCTGTGCCAGGGCCACCAACTCCAGCTCCTCCAGCTCCAGCGCCACCAGCGCCAGTAGTACCAGACTCCGTAAGGTCTCCAGCTCCAGCACCCTCAACAACACCAGTCCCGGCAGCTCCAGTACCCCTAGTACGAGCACCTCCATGACCAGTGGTCGCAGTACCTCCAGTAACACCACCTCCAGTAACACCAGCTCCAGCAGCAACTTTAGTACCTCCAGCTCCAGCAGCGCCAGCACCTCCAGCTCCAGAAGCTCCACTCCGAAGGCCCTTACGCCGAACAAACCACTAACGCAACTTCTGCGGAGACAGTCGCGGCGAAGCACCAGCAGAACCTCCAGACGAAGTAGCACCCTGAGGCTCCGCACCTCCAGACTCCGCACCCTCCGACGCAGCACCTCCAGGCTCAACACCCTCAGGCTCAGCACCCCCAGGCTCACCACTCCCAGTCGCAACACCCCTAGGCTCAACACCCCCAGGCTCAGCACCCCCAGTCTCAGCACCCTCAGACTCCGCACCCCCAGGCTCCGCACCCCCAGACGCAGCACCTCGAGCAGCACCTGAGTCGACAGCTACGTGAACAGGCGCAGGACCAGGGAGAGGGTCTACCTGAGACACACCTGAGGGAGCAGGACCCTGGGGCGAGAGGGGGTCTGCCGGAGGGGGAACGGGAGCAAGGAAGAGCGGCGGGGGCGGGGGAGGGGCAGAGCGGTAGGGGAAGAGGCGGTAAAAGGTGTGAGAATGATAGACGAAAGAATTGAGTGAGAAAGGATGATTGCACTAGAAAGCATTGGGATACAAATAGAAAACCCTAACAGGGTTGTACTCACTACAGAGTACCCCACTGCAGACTAGAGAAACATAATATTCGGACACACCCCCATAGTCAAAGTGGGGTATGATCAGCACAAGAAGCAAAGCAAAGCAAGCTCAGGGTGGATCACAATGTCACCACACATTCTGAGCACAAGTACAAGAAGTAACAGTTTAAAGTTCACAATAAATAAGCAAAGCTAGAGGCTATCACAGAGGGCAAGTGAGGAGGAGGAGGCTGGACTAATAGGAGAGGAGAGAGGAGGCAACGGCGGAAGCTGCAGACACACGGGCAACAGGAGGGGCGCGCACTGTGGCTACCGGAGGCGCACCTCCGGACTACAGAAGTAACTGGCTCCGCGGCTAAGACGAGCGGCAGGAGCAACGGACCCACGGGCGACTGGCGCAGCGGCATCACTGGGCTACCGGAAGCGCACCTCCGGACTACTGGCACTGCTAGCAACACGACGGCTACCTCCACCCAACCTCCCTCTACTGCCGCACCCCCCATTCACACACCCCCTGCTGCACCCCTAGGTTCACTCACACTCCACCCCCTAGCACCACTCCGTCGACTCACACACACCCACCCCCCTCAGCGGCAGCTGCAGCAGTGGGAGACGGAGTAGGAGGAGGAGCAGGAGATGCCACACACCCGCCACCCCCATACCCTCCCCCACTGCTGCACCTGCAGCAGGGGATGGAGGAGAAGGGGGGGGGGGGGGTGCTGTGCATGGCGCATGCAGAGGGCAGCAGGGCGCACGGGGCGCACAGGGCAGCAGGGCGCGCGGGGCAGCAGCAGGGCTGGCGGGTTGGCCACACCCGCCACCCCCATACCCTCCCCCACTGCTGCACCCGCAGCAGAGAGATGGGGGGGGGGGGGGGGGGGGGGGTTGGCAGATCCCCTCCCCCCAGGGGGAGGGAGTGGAGAAAAGGGCGGAGAGGAGGGGGTCCAGGGGCGGCTGCTCCAGGGGCCAGGGGCCAGGGGCGGCTGCTGAGGTCCAGGAGCGGCTGCACCAGGGGCGGCTGCTCCAGGGGCGGCTGCTCCAGGGGCGGCTGCTCCAGGGGCGGCTGCACCAGGGGCGGCTGCACCAGGGGCGGCTGCTCCAGGGGCTGCTGCACCAGGGGCGGCTGCTCCAGGGGCGGCTGCACCAGGGGCGGCTGCACCAGGGGCGGCTGCTCCAGGGGCGGCTGCACCAGGGGCGGCTGCTCCGACGCACGCCCCCCCCCGCCAGGTCGCCCCTCCCGTCGCCTGTTGAGGCGACCTTGGGGGGGGGGGGGGGGGGGGGGGGGGGGGGGGGGTGCGGGGGGGGCAGGCAGGTGCTGCAGGTCCCCTTCCCCCACTGCCGCATCCGCTCCAGGGGGATGGCAGATCCCCTCCCCCCCACTGCTGCACCCGCAGCAGGGGGAGGGAGAGGAGAAAAGGGCGGAGAGGAGGGGGGTCCAGGGGCGGCTGCTCCAGGGGCCAGGGGCCAGGGGCGGCTGCTGAGGTCCAGGAGCGGCTGCACCAGGGGCGGCTGCTCCAGGGGCGGCTGCTCCAGGGGCGGCTGCTCCAGGGGCGGCTGCACCAGGGGCGGCTGCACCAGGGGCGGCTGCTCCAGGGGCTGCTGCACCAGGGGCGGCTGCTCCAGGGGCGGCTGCACCAGGGGTGGCTGCACCAGGGGCGGCTGCTCCAGGGGCGGCTGCACCAGGGGCGGCTGCTCCGACGCACGGCCCCCCCCTCCAGGTCGCCCCTCCCGTCGCCTGTGGAGGCGACCTGAGGTGGGGGGGGGGGGGAGTACGGGGACGCGCTCCCTAAACCTCTATGATCCATGCGGCTGCTCCCCATTTTCTGTGGCCGTTTGCGGTCCAATACGCTGCTCATCAGCTCAACCTCTGGCCCCGTGTCTATGAGCTTGAGACCTCGCCCACACTCCGGTGGACGGGGAAGGTTGGCGATGCGTCGGTGTTTCGGGTCTGGGGCACGCTCTCCCTTGTTCGCGATGCCAAAGCGAGCAAGCTCTCCTCTCGCACTCTCCGCTGCGTCTTCCTTGGCTTCCCCACCGATGCCCCACCGTGGCAGTTCTACTACCCGCACGAGCGTCGAGTCTTCTCCTCCCAGGACGTCACCTTTGAGAGTCTGTCTGTTACTTCAGGCTACACCCGCACGAGTCCTACCCGGTCCCCCTAGCGCCTCTTTTCTTGGTACCAGTCCCCCCCCCCGGTAGACCCCCTCCCCCAACAGGGTCCTGCTGCCTCAGGTGTGTCTCAGGTAGACCCACCCCCCTTGGTTGAGCCTTTGGAGGTCTTTTCTGACTCTCTAGCCCAGCTGAGGGGGGTGACCCCGCCGCTGACGACACGGCGGACAATCGCCGCTCTCCACGCTTAGAGACCCCCCCTGGTTTTCCGCCTCGGCCGTCTTCGCCGCCTCCGCAGCCTGCTACTGTGGACTCTGGAGCTGAGACTGCTGGTGCTGAGCTTGGGGGTGCTGAGACAAAGGGTGAGGGTTCTGGGGGTGCTGCGACTGGGGGTGCTGGTTCTTGGGGTGCTGCGACTGAGGGTGCTGACCCTGGGGGTACTGCGAGTCCTAGTGGCGGTGGAGCTGTGGGTGACCCTACTGGAGGTCCTGGAGCTGGACAGCCACCGCAGCCTCGCCTACTTTAGATGCTCTCGCCGCAGGCGATTCGTGCATGGATCGTTCGGCAAGGCAGTCCTGGTGGTGGAGGGTACGGTCCAGCTGGTGCTGGAGCTGCTAGTCCTGGAGGTACTGCTGGCGCTGGAGGTACTGGAGGTACTGCTGGAGGTGCTGGAGGTGCTGCTGGTGCTGGAGGTACTAGAGGTGCTGCTGGTGCTAGAGGTGCCGGAGCTACAAGTCCTAGAGGTGCTACTGGTGCTGGAGGTGCTGGACCTACTAGTCCTGGAGGTATAGCTGGTGCTGGAGGTGCTGGAGGTGCTGCTGGTGCTAGAGGCGCTGGAGCTGGAGGTACAGGAGGTGCTGGAGCTGCTGGTCCTGGAGGTGTTCGTATTGGAGGTGTTGGAGCTGCGGGAGCTGGTGGTGCTGTTAGTGCTGGGGGTGCTTAGGGTTCTGGAGCTGCTGGCACTGGAGGTGCTGGTGCTACTGGTGCTGGAGCTGCGGGAGCTGCTGGTCCTGGAGGTGCTCGTACTAGAGGTACTGGAGCTGCCGGAGTTGGTGGTGCTGCTAGTGCTGGAGGTGCTACTGGAGCTGCTCGCACTGAAGGTGCTGGTGCTGCAGGTACTGGAGGGGCTAGAGCCATTGGTACTGGAGGTGCTCGTACTAGAGGTGCTGGAGCTGCCGGAGCAGGTGGTGCTGCTGGTACTGGAGGTGCTGGAGGTGCTACTGGAGCTGCTGGCAGTGGAGGTGCTCGAGGTATTGCTGGTGCTGGAGGCGCTGGAGCTGGAGGTACTAGAGGTACTAGAGCTGTTGGAGCTGCTGGTCCTGGAGGTGCTCGTACTAGAGGTGCTGGAGCTGCCGGAGCAGGTGGTGCTGTTGGTGCTGGAGGTGCTGGAGGTGCTACTGGAGCTACTGGCACTGGAGGTGCTGGAGGTACTGCTGGTGCTAGAAGAATGGCGCTGCCAAAGCTCGTGGTGCTACTGGTGCTGGAGGTGCTACTGGAGCTGCTGGTACTTCCCCATGCCGACCGCTTTTCTACCCACAGCCGCAGTCGTCCCTCCTGCCGCCTGACTCAATCCTTCGCCAGGTTCTTAGTCTCCCATCTTCCACTGGCCTCACTCCACCTCTCCTGTCTCCACCGAGAGACCAGTCTCAGCCACAGCTTATGCCTGGCTCCTTGCTGCCTGCTCCTGCTCCTCGCACTGAGGTGACTGAGTCCCTGACTGAGCATCGTCAGCCTGAGACTCGTGCTTCCACACCTGTTCGTGCTCGTCGTGTCGTCCGTCCTCCTCCTTCTGTCCCAGGCACTCACAGTATGACAGTTCGTCCTTCCTCTGTTCCACAGCGTGTTGTCCTACCTGAGCCTCCAGCGTCCTCTCTTCTGCACGTTCCTGACCTTGAGTCTGACCTTGCTCGTGCTGCCAGTCCTACGGTCACTCGTCTCCTCGCTACTGTTGTCACTTACCCTGAGTTTGAGTCTACTGCTGCGTTTGCCCTAGTCACTGAGCTAGTCGACTTTGCAGCTAGGAGCCGTCTCGACTACGTCGCGGGTCTTGTTACTGAGTCTGATTTTGTCTATCCTCCGTCTGTTGGGGGTGAGCCTGCCCTTAGCAGTGACGTCCTTGAGGACAGGCAGTTTGAGCTTGAGTGTCTTGCGGCCGCTTTACCTCGTTTCGCATCCATGCTACTTTGCCCTGAGGGAGACCCGGATGCACTTGACATCCCTACCCCGCGCTCTTACGCTGAGGCGATCGTGGGTGAGTACTCCTCTCAGTGGCAAACAGCCATGGACGTAGAGATGGCTTCCTGGAAGTCCACAGGCACTTACGTCGACGAGGTTCCTCCTCATAGGGCGAACATAGTCGATGGCATGTGGATTTTCATAGTGAAGCGGCCGCCGTGTTCTCCGCCTGCCTTCAAGGCGCGTTACGTTGCTCGAGGCTTCAGTCAGCAACAAGGGGTGGACTTCTTCCAGACCTTCTCCCCCACCCCAAAGATGACTAGTCTTCGGGTGCTGCTGCATGTTGCAGCACATCCTGACTACGAGCTGCACTCCCTCGAGTTCTCCACAGCTTTCTTGCAGAGCAGCCTTCATGAGGAGATCTGGCTGCACCGCCCACCTGGCTTCACTGGGTCGTTTCCTGCGGGTACCCAGTGGAGCCTCTGGCGGCCAGTCTACGGTCTCCGCCAGGCGCCCCGAGAGTGGCACGACACACTGAGGACTACACTTGCGGCTCTTGGGTTTGCTCCTTCCAGTGCTGACCCGTCCCTGTTTCTACGCACGGACACTACCCTGCCGCCGTTCTACGTTCTCGTGTACGTCGATGACTTGGTTTTTGCTACTTCTGACATTGAGGCGCTAGCCCTACTGAAGGCGGAGTTGCGGGAGAGACACACCTGCACTGACCTGAGTGAGCTGTGTAGCTATCTTGGCTTGCAGATCACCCGGGACAGAGCACGGCGCACCATCACCCTGACTCAGTTATACATGGTGAACCAGGTCCTTCAGCGCTTTGGCTTCCAGTTCTCCTCGCCACAGCCCACTCCTCTGTCTACCGGCCACTCGCTCCCAGCTCCACCTTCGGACGAGTCCGTAGAGCCGAGTTGTCTGTACCCAGAGCTTGTGGGTTGCCTCATGTACCTGATGACGTGCACACGACCTGACCTCGCGTACCCTATCAGCTATCTGGCTCGCTACGTGGCTCCCGGTATACACCGAAAGGTACACTGGGATGCTGCAAAGAGGGTATTGCGTTACTTGTGCAGTGCATCGGGCATGTGGCTCATGCTTGGAGGACGGGGTTCAGTGGTACTCGCAGGACACTCCGACGCTTCTTGGGCCGACGACCAGGCGACTCAGCGTTCGTCACAAGGTTACACCTTCACTCTTGGCTCTGATTCTGTCTCGTGGAGGTCCACTCGTTCTTCTTCTGTGCTTGGTTCCAGCTATGAGGTCGAGATCTACGCTTGGGCCATGGCTGCACAGGAGCTACGTTTGCTTACCTACCTGCTGACCAACTTGGGGGAGCGGCCTTGTTCTCCTCCATTTCTGTACGTCAACAACAAGGCAATGCTTGCCTTGTGTCACGAGCAGGGAGTGGAGCACAGAATGAAGCACATTGCTCTTCGCTACTTCCTTGCGCGTGAGCTGCAGCAGCGTCGCCAGCTCCGCCTTTCCTACGTGGCCTCGCGGGCCAACACTGCTGATGTGTTCACCAAGGTCCTTGGGTCTGGTGATCATCAGCGTTTTTGCACTGCTCTTGGGCTTGTGCCCACTCTGCCTCACCTGCTGGTTGCTCGACTTGCTCTTGTTGTTCATTGATATATATTTTCATACCTGCTTGTTTACTCTTGCTAGGTTGTGATCAGTGTACTGCCTTGCTATTATAACTCTGCATGTGAACTAGCCTTGTGGCCGCTTGCTTCTGCTCAGATTGTGTGGTGTCATTGAGATCCACCCTGAGCTTTGCTTTGCTTTGTTCTCTTGCTTGACTGGACTTGTGACCGTTCGTTGTGTTTGTTATCCCCCACTTTGCCTATGGGGGTGTGTCAAATTACATTTGTATGCGTAGGCTGTAGTGGGGTAGCCTCTACTGAGTACAATACTTTAGGTCAAACCTAGTACTTGTACTCATCCTTGCTTGCTAGTCAATCATTCCTGCACAGTTGATTCTGACAGCGAGAAACTTCATGCTGAAGCCAAAATCGTCGCCGCACTCAATTCGCACCGTCTGTGTTTCCTCCAAAATCGCCAGAGGCGTCCCATCCACAAGGCAAGCGTCAATTTCGGGCAGGCACCTGTCCAGCTGCAACTTGCATTTTTTTGCTGTCGCCAAGTTGAAGAGGCTATAGCTAGCCCCGCCATCGACGAACATTTCTATTTTTTTCTTAACAACTGTTCCAACAACCAGCACTGGGTGATCCACAAGATCACCCCCGTTATTCGTTCGAGTGCGCTCGATTGCATGAATCAGAACCACAACTCGGTGGGGATGGTGGTGTTCGGGCGACAGAGCACAGTCAGTAAGGGGCCCGTCTGTTACTGAATCTTCTCATTTCCCAGCTCTTTCCCGTCGTTCCTGTCAGAATCCCAACCACTAGACCATTGGGATAAAAGGGCTTGTTAAGTAGCGGGTCAGTGCGCCCATAACCCCCCAGGCCAACATGCCTGTAACCCTTCCCTAGGATCAATCGGGGATCACCAGTGGACCTCTGACACCCCCCCGCACTGGGATGCCCGAAGTGCACACACTGGGATTCGAACCCGAGACCTTCGCTCTGATACCATGTCAGAATCCCAACCACTAGACCATTGGGATAAAAGGGCTTGTTAAGTAGCGGGTCAGTGCGCCCATAACCCCCCAGGCCAACATGCCTGTAACCCTTCCCTAGGATCAATCGGGGATCACCAGTGGACCTCTGACAGTTCCTCCTTCCCTGCGTCCTGTCGGGGCAGTCTTTATACATGTGACCCGGCTTCCCGCACTTAAAACACAACCCTGTAAAAGGGCGGTCTGGTGCATGGACTCTGTTAATCGTGGCCCGCTGGGTCTGTCCACAAAAGCGATTTCCCTCCCAGAAAATCGATCTCGCCCACTGCATCAGCGCGTCTGTGGTCTCTGCCAATCGAACGTCTTCGTTGAAGGTAGCTGGACGGTTGCGGTGCACTTCGTAGTGTATCTCGTATTTCAAGCCGCTGATGTATTTATCCAACCGTTCAGCTTCCGCCATGTCGTCCACCTAATCGGCGAGGGCCATAAACGACGCCGTGTAGTCTTGAACAGAAGCCAACTGCGACAAGGCACGTAGCTTCATGCGAGCGTGTTCTGAGGCGGATACATGCTCGAAACGCTCTCGTAAGGCTGCGCCCCACTCCTTCCACATGCGGATTGTGGTCACACCGAATATCGATACTGCTCATCCATTTGCAGAGTCGGAAGTCCCATCTGCCGCATGTGTCACACCTGTCGGGGTCCCCGTGTCCAAGGTTCGGCACCACCATTCAAGCGCTGGGCCTCGCAAAAGCGATACTGCGTAATTAATACGCGTAGCGTCATCGTTGACGTTCGATGCAGTGAAGAAGACCTCCACACCAAAGAGCCACCCCTTCACTGTAGTGTTCTTGTCCATAGGATTGAACGGGGGCAGGCTCGCGGGTTTAATCTTGATCGTCGTTACTGCAACTTTCGTCGCTCCTGCTCGCTGCCTATCTTCTTCTTCGAAGCCGTGTGTGAGCTCGTCCAATGGGTTGCTCACTGCTTGACTGTTGCCCTCGCCTTCGTCATCGGGCGACGCCTGGCGCGCTTCACCTCGCGCCTGGCGTAGCTCGTTGTTTTCTTCACGTAGTTTCTCCACTTCTGTCGTTAACGCCTTCATGTCTGTGGACATATCAGCCACTTGTTGCATCAACGCGTTAAATTCTGCCTGATCCATCTGACGCAAGCTACGTCTAGTAGGCAAGTGAGTATCCATGACTATCCGGCAACAGTGCAAGCACAAAAGCTATCGGAGTCGGGCACGTTTAATTTAATAAACTTTGCAGCCAACCGCTTTGCAGCCCACTGTACCAGTCACACCCGTGCCTCTAAACTATCATCGAAAAGCGGGGTGAACTAGGAAAGTAGCTCTGATACCAGGTTTTATGAGTTGTCAAACACAGTTGCGCGGAAAACGAATAACGAAGCTTGCGACTAAATGAACTGACGATACAATGAAAGGCACGCAATTATATAGCGGGACACCCTAGCTAGGCAGGAACCTCGGGAACACGAGGTTGGGTGCAGGTTGGGCAAAGGAAAGTCGAAGGCGACGCGAGGTTGCTTCGGCAGCAAGCAAACCGGCCAAACATGCACTTCCGAAAGTTGGGGTTGTACGCGGTTGAGGAAACCCCAGTAAGGAAAAGGGGTTTTCCTTACATAATCGCAGCATGGGGTTTTTATGTAGCTGATTGTAACAAAAGGAGTTGGATGATAAGTAGAGTGTGTTGGGCTGAGAAAAGCCCTTAGGATCTTTCAAGGCTAAGATCTGTGGTTGAAGTAGGAATGTTGTAGTTGCGGAAGCGTTTAATATCAGAGTTGCTGAACCACCTTGTACTAGTGTGTGAGTGTCAAACTTATATGCTTTAGTCTATCTAGGCTGTAGTGGGGTAGTTCATATAGGGTACAACACTTTTAGGTTTCCTACTTGTACCCACCTGCTTGCTAGTTCAGTCATTCATTCGTTCCATATTCTAACATGGTATTCTGAGCAGGTTCCCTCGTGGGAACGTTTTTTTAGGGCCCACCACGAACTTTTTTTTCCTGCCCTGCCCGAAGCGCGCCTCGCGCCTGCCCTAGCTACGCAGTCGCCCGCCCTTCCCTAGCCGGCCCTTTCTCAACCGGCCCGTCCCGGCCTGTTCCTGGCCCGTCGCGGCCCCTTTCCCGCCCGTCGCGGCCCCTTTGCCGCCCGTCGCGGCCCCTTTCTTGCCCGTTGCGGCCCCTTTGCCACCCGTCGCGGCCCCTTTGCCGCCCGTCGCGGCCTGTTCGCCGCCCGTCGCGGCCCCCCCTTTGCCGCCCGTCGCGGCCTATTCGCCGCCCGTCGCGGCCTGTTCGCCGCCCGTCGCGACCTCTGCCCAGCAGCCGCCCTGTCGCGGCCACTGCCCAGCACTTCGCCGCCCATCGCGGCCTCTTCCCTGCAGACGCCCCCTGTCACGGCCACTGCCCTGCTGCCGCCCCAGTCGTGGCCCTGCCTTAGCCGCCCGTCGCGGTCTCTGCCCTGCAGCCGCCCCCTGTCGCGGCCCTGCCCTGCTGCCGCCCCAGTCGCGGCCCTGCCTTCACCGCTGTCGCGGCCTCTGCCCTCCAGCCGCCCCTGTCGCGGCCCTGCTCTGTTGCCGCCCCTGTCGCGGCCCTGCCTTGCGGCCGCCCACTGTCGCGGCCCTGCCTTCGCCGCCCGTCGCGGCCCCTACCCTGCAGCCGCCCTCTGTCGCGGCCCTGCCCTGCAGCTGCCCCTGTCGCGGCCCTGCCCTGCACCCGCCCCCGGTAAGCACCTGCGCTGTCCTGCCGCGCCGCGCCGCCTGCTGCCGCGCCGCGCTGCCAGGAACCGAGCCGCGCCGCCCTGCCGAGCCGCGCCGCCCAGCCGAGCCGCGCCGCCTTTGCCGAGCCGCGCCGCCCAGCTGAGCCGCACCGCACTGCCGAGCCGCGCTGCCCTTTTTCTTGCACTACCTCTGCTGCCATACTGCTGCTACTGCTGCTACTGCTTCTATGGCTAGCCCTACTGTTCTCACCTTTGATGCTGAGGGGCGTGCAGTTGACTTTGACGTGTGGGTTGACGACCTGCAGCTCTTTCTTCAGTGTGACTCTAGGGATGGGGTATCCCTTTTCGATCACACGTCCGGTGTCTCTACTACTCCTGCTGCCACTGCTGACAGTACGGTTCGCTCGCAGTGGACCACTCGTGACGCTGTTGCTTGTCTTGCTGTTCGTAGTCACCTGCCGCCTGC